ACAGTGGGAAGACACGTGGGTCATGCTGTTATCTATCCTGGATTTTAACAAGGAATAGGCAAGCTCCGGTCCTGTCAATGTAACGGATAGACAAGCCACACAGCCACAGCCTTGACCTTCACAGAAGTAGACTGTGTTCTCAACACTAGACGCTTCCCAGAGCCCCAGGACTACACCAGGGCACATTAGAGGAGATTCTATTTCAGCCTCACTTGGGGGAGTGGAGGAAGCTATACCACTTGGACAACTGGACAGGAAACAGTGGGGGGTAGAAGAGCTTTAGAGACACAGAGTGAAAGACACCTCAACAGGGAGCCCTGACACCTAGCAGTGCATGTATGGGTATGTGGGGGGGGGACGTTGGGGGTATTTAAGGATTCAGCAGAAGTGCATGGGAACTGGAAAGCAAAGATGGTTGAAAAGCTACAATGCTTAACCACCCCCACCACTGCCCTGGGATAACCAAAGCTCCTAGACCACTCAGCTGGCTTCCTTAAAATGATAGCCCCTCCTGGGTGGCAGAGGTGGAGCGAGTATCCCCTTTCCCAGCTGCATGAAGGCATGCATTTACTTGCATTGGGTGGCACTGTGATGAAGGGACATTGTCCCCAGTTAGGCATGAAGCAAATCACAAGGCTGGTACCCAGGTTGAGGCTGCTCTTATCAAAAAAATATCAGGAGTGTCCAACACACAGCCCTGGGCCACACCAAATTGTAAACTTACTGAAGACATTAGTTTTTTTGGGGGGATATATATCTGGTTGTACATGATATATATTTGGTAACATGACTGCATGGCTCATGCGTGTGAACTTTGTAGATGATACTGTGGCTTCAGAGAAGCCAAACATAGGACCACTCTGCTGGTACCCGGGGAACATGCCTTTCAGGCACCAGTGCTCTGCAGCAAGGCATAGCCTCATGCTGGCAAGACTAGAAGAGGGCTGGCTGGGTTTCACAGAGTCTGCCATTCTCTGCCCTGCGGGTAGAGCCCGTGAAAGTCTCTCTCCTGTGCCCACATAACTGACAGTGGGAAGAATTGCCTAGAAAATAGGAAGGGCAGGGCTGGAGAGACGGCTCAGCCATTAAAGGCTAGGCTCACAACCAAAAATATAAAATAGGAAAGGCTCCTTCTCTAGATCAGTGGTTCTTAACTTCCTAATGCTGCAACCCTTTAATACAGTTCCTCATGCTGTGGTGACCCCAACCATTACATTATTTTTGCTGCCACTTGATAACAGTACTTTTGCTACTGTTATGAATCATAATGTAAATATCTGGGTTTTATGATGGTTTTAGGCCGACCCCTGTGAAAAGGTCATTTGACCCCCTTCCCTCCACAAAGGTTGGACCACTGCTCTAGACTTTGAGGAAACCTATCTAGTTGGGGTATGGCCCTTGAGGAGCTCATGGGATGGGATAAGCTGCAGAGACCATAGAACCAAGGTAGAGTGTTCATACCTGGAGAAGGTAGGGGTGCTCTCTGAGTGCGTCTACACTGGGACAGAGAGATCTAGGCTCAGGGAGGCAAGGTCTTAGGTTGCCAACTGGTAGGAATCAAGATTTCTTGTCACTCAAGAGTTAACCAGAGAACATTTTTAAAAATTTCTAGACATATCTATGGACATGACATGGTATCTGAGCTATCCCCAGGTACGGATGCATTCAGGTGTCCTGGGTACATCTGCTTACTGCCTCAGAGAAGGATGACTCCTGTAAAGATTGTGTTGGGAGACATCGGAGCACTTCTGGCATGTATTTAAAATCTGGCTGATGGGTTCAATCTCTTGGCTATTTAAACTAAACAGCAAGTTCTTTGTCCCTTAAGCACCTACCAAGAGCACAGCCATCTTTTTCCATCCATTTACAAGGGTAACTTACAAAGGAGGGAAAGGCAGGTCCATTTGATGTCAATGGCTGATGAACTGAGGATGAACTGGAAAAGAGAAGATCAAGCCTTCCCTCAGGAGCCCAGGCAGGATTGGGATAGGGTGTAGGTGGACATCAGAGCGTTGGTGGGTTTAAAGGTATTTGCTACTCACTGGTGACTTCCAGGGGGAGACAAGCCAAGGTGGACTAGAAGGCCACTGATCTAGGGTATGGGGCAAGAACAGCCTAATTTTATACTCAGAGGAGGGTGAGGCCACAGAGAGCAAGCTTCCAGTGCTGTGCTGGACTCTCCTGCTTTCCCAAGAGTAATGATCAAAGCCCTTCTCAATCCCATTGTCTCTCTCCACAGGCTGCCCCACCTCAGTCCTACAAAGGATTCTGGGAGGAGAGAGGCCAGAAGAGAGACATTTGAGCACAGCAGTTTGCGTTTGTTTTTCTGCCTCTGAAGGGAAAAACGCTAAATTTTTATTTGTCTATTTTTTTTGGTAGAAGTAATTACACCATGCTAATTTAACTTTAGGGATAAAACAAGGTGATTCTGTACAGTAATGGAGGCATGGTTTTAAAAACACAGGCCTATATTACCAAATGAATCTTGAAACTCACGAGGAAAAAATATTTAGTTAAAAACAGAACCTTTTACTTTCAGCTTGTAGTTTCCTAGACATGAGAGATGCCCAGGGCCTTTAAGGAACATTGGCACATTAAAGACCAAAGAAAACTAGCAAGAGGCATGCCCTACATACCTAAAGCATAATTTTCTATTTCTAACTGTGGTTGTGAGACACTTTATAGCATCCATCAGATTTGAAGGAGGGGGCAGGCTGCTGGGATGTTCTCTGAAAGCTATACGAGGCCCAGAGGATCAAAACACAGTGTGGACCCTCAGAAGCTGCAGCTTATGCCTTAACAACATCTAAAAAATAGCATTTGGTCTTTTTTTTTCTTTTCCCTGGGGGGGGATAGGGACCTTCAATAAGGGCAAGCATTAGAATATGATTTTGGAAACTTCTGGGTAAATTAAATATTCCATGGGGTTTTGACCCAAGAAATAAGATTCATACATCTCCACTAAGAGTAAAGTCACACTCATGCCACTGTGCCAGGCTGGCCAATCAGGTATACCAGCTGACTTGCAGGGGTGATGGGTACCTTTGGCCCCAGCTCTGCTACATCCTGAAGCTAAACTAGATCCATTTGATGTCAATGGCTGATAAACTGAGGATAGTTCATACTTATATTACAGAGCAGTTAGGAGGCTCAAAGGGAGACAGAAGCATTTAGAGCTAGTATGTGTCTGTGAAAGGGAGGTGTGTGTGTGTGTGTGCGTGCGTGCGTGCGTGCGTGCGTGTGTGTATGTGTGTGTTGTGTGTGCGTGTGTGTGTGTGTGTACACCAACTCTGAAGCCTCTTGCAGCTGAGCTCATACCGAGGCACCTTCAGGCTTCTTCCCTCAGGCTTAGCTATTCTTTTTAAGGGAAATTCTGCCATCTTGCTCTGAAGGCCACTGAGCTTATCCAGAGCTAGTAATACTGATATGAACCCCGAATTGAAGGCTGGTAATGGGAGCGAGGTCTCATGATAGTTCTGCTTAGGGAATGCAAGCTTGAATACTTTGTCCCTTGGAATTCAGAGAACTTCACTACAGATTCCACCACAGGCCCAGAAGGACTCAGCTGAACCTTAGTTGAACCAAGGTTCAAATTGCTTAATATCCCCCTCTCATTACCCTGAGACATCCCCATGCCTTCTACTGTGCAAAATATCTCAGTATTCAAAGTGCATCAGGCCTGATAGACTTTTGCAATAGAAACATTAAAAAAATAAAAAAACCCTCACTATATAAAATTAATTTGTGCTTTCTCATTAGAACCCAGGCATGGTTTAAAGTCACGAATCTGTTACACAGAGATTTCAAAACTATGAAGCAATCAGACATTGTTCCACATTTGCCTGTGCTTGGGCCCATCTCCCATCCCTGGCCTTGCATGTGGAGCAAACTCTGAAGTTGAAAAAAAAACTTAGCTCTAAAAATTCTAAGAAATGTTTTTTTCAGAATTGGCTTCCGCCAACCAGGAGAGTGATTTGTGGGCACTCTCTCCTTGCCATAACTATCACTTCTGCAATTGGTTGGGCATATAAACAATCGGGTCTCTTGGTGGGGTGGTTTTGAAAGCAGAGCATTGACAGAGAAGTTACAAACCTGAAGGGGCGGTGCATGGCATCCTAAGGTCTGAAATGTGTAGCTGTGACTACATTCCCCACCGTGTCTCTGAGTTAGCACCTGTTTCTGTGTGGTCGTCCACCTTTTTCTATTCCAAACCAAACTGTCTTGGAGCCAGCACAAGATGACACACAAAGGATTCATTTGTTTGTTTGTTTGTTTGTTTGTTTTCTTTCTCCTTGTTGGTCCCTGTCAATGATCCTTTTGTGCGGAATGATATTCTTCAAGTATGATGATCTATATGTGATGTTTTATTTTTAATATTTCATTGCTCATTTTCTGAATGTGTCAATAAAAAGGATAACAGTGTTCGCTTGCTTTTCTCTCTTCTACTGGGAAATAATGCTTCCACTCTTCCTATTTTTTTTCTATAATTGCAGTTGTCGCCATCCCCTGCAGGTGAATGCCTTGTCTCTTCCAAATTTCCAGTGTTCCCAGCAGAGTTGGACACGGTGTATGGTGACACGGTCTGCCTTCTCAGGCCCAGAGGTGACAATTGCCAATCACCATTCTACTTTGCACTCATCTATGACACCTCATGTTCACTGACTGACTCATTTCTGAGGCTGCTCACGGAACAGAAAGACAAACAGCACACACAAGTCCTGTTGACTAAAGTGTGCAAGAGAGAAGAGACATGATGTGTCCCCGCAGCTGGCAGCCAAGAGTATGTGGAGCTGCTCAAATAATGCCTGGACCATGCCATGCAGGAACAGATGCCCAGCAGCCTGGACCATGACCACACAAAGACCATGGTGGCCCTTCCTTCCAGCTCATGAAAGAATTGACAGTAGCTGCCAAGGCAGGAGAGACCTGTGTGGAGAAGGAGAGAGAGAGGATGCCAGCATCATGGTGGCCACAGCAGTTTCCCGGGCAACAGCTCAGCTTTAGTCATCTTCTCGGCACATGGGCAAGTTGACGAAAGTAAAGACATTGAACTCTATCATTATGGAGAAGCACAGGAAGACGGCATAGAGGACCAGCACGTAGATGCCCAGCTTCCGGTCCAGGCGCCATTTGTTGAGGTGGATGCCAAGGACCTGGAAGGAGATAGGTGGAGAGCTAGGCATGGTGGGGCTTAGCAACCCAAAAGCCCTTTTAACCAAACATAATGTGAACTCCAGAACTTTTTATAAGATGTAGTCAAGATTCTGGTCTAGTTGACACTAGACTCTGAGACCTGTCCCATGACATGGCTGAATCCACAGCAGCCGCTCTCACACATTGGCCCTCCTGAGGAGACAGGCCACTTCCTCAGGTACAGCATGTCCTCATCATGGCCCTTCTCTAAGGAAACCGGATCTTCCCCTTTGCCTCAGAACTTGGCATCATAATTGTTTCTCTACAGCACATTTCCCAGGCTCATTTGAGCCATTCTGGGTTAACTTCTGCTTCCCCCACTTACTGTGCATATGTTGGGGGAACAAGCTCCCCTGCCCCACTGCCCTCACTCTTATCCCTGAATCAAGGCTATTCTGGGCTGGACCACAGCTCTCCTTCTCCACACAGAGCACAGAGCTCTGTAAAGACAGAGAAACTTGGCTTCAAACCACATTTTTGCCACTTGCTAACTCCATGACCTTGTGCAAATTGCTTAACTCCTGAGCCTTGATTTCTTCTGCAAAATGGGATGAATAGTATCTTCCTCATTAGGGGTGGGAGGAACTGTATAAACCACAGATATAAAGTACATGGCATAGGTCTGTGCATGAGAGCCGGAAAGATCTCACTGTTGTTACATGCTGTGCCAAGGACTGTCATGCCCCCCGTTTGTCAGCTCAGCAGCCAAGAAGAGTTTCTCTTTCACTGGCCCAGTCAGAAAGAAATGAAATATAATCACATGACAGGACAACCTTAGTGACATCTTTGTGTGTATGTGTGTCTGTGTGTGCACATGTATGTGGGTACATGTAGAGGCCAGAGGACAATCTTGGTTGTTATTCTTCAAATGTTATTCACCTTCTTTTTGAGATAGAGTCTCTCACTGAACATTCTAATTTGCCTAGGTTGGGTGGCCAGAGAGCCCCCGAGGACCTGCCTGTCTCCACTTTCCTCGCACCTGAATTACAAGTATGCATCATTATAAACGCTTATTTTAACAACATGGATTCTGGGACTCAAACTCAGGTCCTTGGCCTTAACTGACCAAGCTCATCTCCCAGGTTCCCTGGTGACATCTTATTTGCTCAGGATGAAGTACCATGGTGGCTGAAGTTGTTCTTGGCAAAAGAAGGAAGGAAGGAAGGAAGGAAGGAAGGAAAGAAGGAAGGAAGGAAGGAAGGAAGGAAGAAAAGAAAAGGTAGGTTTGGGGTATCTTTGACTATATACATCCCCTTGGCTTTGTCCATCACTGCAGAGGGCAAGTAACAGGAGATGTACATAGCCAGGCTGAATGGATGAAACGAAGTGTGTATGATGCTCCCAGTTAGAAATGGTAAAACTCACAGTGAGAGCGACGGAGCCCAGCAGCAGCACCACGGAATAGACCAGACCCCGGCTGTTGATCTTCACCTGAAAAGTGAAGCACACAGGACACAAAGCTTGAGTTACTTGGCCAGTCTATTCCAAAAGCCCAGCCCTCTTCAGAATATTCATTCTCTCATTTGAGAAACACAGGGCACCCTCTGATGAGCATTCAGGAATGGTCAGGACCCAACAAGGGGGAGCCATAGGTTCATGTCTGCACTTGGTTCATCAAGGAAGTGGCCTAGGATGGGGATAGGTGCTGGTGGGCTTAGGCAAGAGGAAGAGACACTGATGAGTATGTAGCAAGCAGGGGCTCCCTCCTGCAGACAATACTAGACTGTTCTAGAAGCCATCAAAGAAAGTAGGTGCTAGGGACAATGGATAGCACATCTCCCGGGAACTCCAGGAACTGGGTGGGCATCATCCTTCCCTTTGAAACATACCTGTGCCTTCCTTTAGGAAGTGCTAGGACTTACTGTGGATCCATAATTAATAACCATGGTCTGCAGGCCCCACGGGATGCCAAGTCCCACCAGGATGTCAAACACATTGCTTCCGATGGTGTTAGAGACTGCCATGTCTCCAAGTCCTGGGGAATAAGCAACACATTCCTTCCATCAGGAGATGGCCTCAGGGGACCCCTACTCCCTCTCTGAACTCCTCCATCATTGCTGTTCAAAGGAAGGAGATCCTTCATGGATCCTATGATAGGGAATGCCCTTCTGTATGCTGTGAATATATGTTTCTCTTATTGGTTGATGAATAAAACTGTGTTGGCCAATGGACAGGCAGGATGTAGCCAGGCAGGAAGTATAGGCAGGGTGACCAGACTAGGAGAATGCTAGGAGGAGGAACTCAGAGAGTGAGTTGCCAGCCAGAGAGATGCCATGTAGCTGACGAGGAACAAAGAGGTCCAGGTATCACTTCTAAGTCAAGACTTCGTAGAGACACACAGGTCCCTCCATTATTCTCCCCTTAGGTTGGTTAGCTGTCTTTCTCAAGGCCCTACCACAGGCTCTGCCTCTTTTAGTTCCCTCATCTATGCTGGGCTTGGGTGGGACTATCACTCTCACATGGCAGGTGGCTACAGGCTAATACTTTGCTAGAGACCCAGTCTCGGGATACTGGTCTAGCATCCTTCCACCAAGCCATGAAGCATATTTGAGCCTAGACAGTGGCATCTGTGACCTTATCTGGGACCACAGAGCATCAGCCCTTATATTCCAGTGGTTTCTGAAGAGTGACCTTTCTCTTTAAAAATCAGAGGTCATTGTTCCCCTTCCTGCCCCATTGTCCAAGATACTGTTGGTCACACAGCCGAGGCACTTCCTCCCTTGAGGTGGGGATCACAGATTAGAACAAGTTCTAAGAAAAGACTCATGTTGGCTAAACCCTGGCATTGTAAGCTGGAACTCACAAATGTGGGTCCAGAAGGAAGCAGCCTGAAACACAAATGTCTTAAAAATGTAACATCACTTTGGTAGCTGTGTCATTCATCAGCAAGTCCGTCCAGCAGCCAGACCTGCCTCTTCACTAGCCTCCAGTGTGCCAGGCCACTCCTTGTCCCTCGTTCTCACTGCTGTCCTCTGGAGACCCCCCAGCGCATGCCTCTTCCTCCTTGGTGTGAAAAACTTCAGAATCTTGGCAGCTTAGGGCTCAGAGGTCTGGATCTCCACGATCCTGGTCTACTAGGCGCTTAGCCTCTAGCAACTTGAAGGAATGTACAGTGAAGGTTTGGGACCAGCTACTTGTACCTGGTGAGAACAGGCTAAAGATGTTGGGATGGGGGGGGGGATGAGTGCATCTCATGGCAGTTCTCTGAGCTGCACAGGTGGCTGGGAGCCTTAGGGCTGTGTGACACACACCTTAATGAGCACACAAGTCACCTGGGGTTTTTGTAACATGCAGGTCCTGATTGAGCAGGGGCAGTGCAGGGCCTGAGGGTCTGGATATATTGTGAGCACCCCAGTCAATACTTACATGGCTATGCTTTGACCTACAGGAAGCCTGTAGGGAGGCCTGGTGCAGAAGTTCCCATCAGAGGACCTGCTTCACACAGATGAACAGGCCCTTTGTCATTGAGAAGCTTCTAACCCTGACCTTGTCCACTGGGTTCTGTAGATCACATCGCTGTTATCTTATAACAGCATTGTACCCCAGGCCCTGGCCTCATTCACACTTCTCGCACTGTAGCTAGTGTGAGACAGTGTCCTACTATAGGACTCTGCTTGTCCCTTGTTCCTAAATATGACCCTTCATTGACATTGGGACCCCCCCCAAACTGCAACTTCCTACTAGTCAGTGTTTAAACCAAGCATCCTCCTGTCTTGTTGTCTTTTCCTGGTGTCCACCTAGGGGTGACTTTTGTCACCTGTGTGCTGAAGAGCATACATGAGACCAACTTTTCCCAGGTTTATGTGACTGAGTGCCAGCTAGGTCCCATGTTCTTTAGCGTTCTTTGCACTCACTGTATTTGTGTAAGGAGCTGCCCACTCCCTACCTCTAATTCATGTCTAACCAAAGCCTCTGTGGGTGACTGAATTTAGGATTTTTGCAGATGCCATCAAATAAAGTTATACCGAATTAAATGGACTCTAATCTAGTGACAGCCAATCTTATAAGAATAAAGTATGGTTGTAGAAACACAGGGAACATATGGCCTGTAACAACAGAAGCAGAGCCTGGGGGGAGGTGGGGGAGGGGTACAGATACAGGCTGAATAAGCCAAGGAGATGCAGTTTACATGAGCCAAGCAGGCTCTTCCTGGAATGTGAAGAGTGGGCAGGTCCCACAGGCTCCAGGTTTAGACTTTGAGTAAGGCTAAGTTCAGTTGTGTTGATTTGCCCTAGGAAGCAAACATTCTAACATCAAAGGTCAACCAATTAAATTCCATTCCCCTCAGCTGCTGCCTCCAATGGCCTCTAGTTCTCTCTGTCAGGCACCGGACTACCTCACACTCTCACAGGGCCTTCTCTTCACGCTGTCGTCTTAGCCTTTGCATCTCTTGGAGGAATGTGTCTTTATTTCCAGAGTCAACCTTTCTCCCTGGTGCTGCCCTCTTCTCTTGTTTCCTGAGGATAATCTTGCTTTTTGACCTTCCCCTTCCCCTTCCATGGACTTTCAAACTCTTGCCTCCCAGGAAGACATGCATTAGCCTACTCTGGGATGCTGTCTCCTTGGTAGGGAGGAGCAGAGAATGAAAGGCCAGGCTTAGCAGCCCTTTGGTTTTGCCGTCAAGGACTGTGAATCACTCCCCATTTTGCTCAACCTGGGTCATTTCATAAGCCAAAAGAAAACCAATATACAAGCAAGACACTTCACATCTTCTAGAATTCATGAGAACAGGAAAGAGCCATTGTCTAGGATTTTCATGATGCCTGCCTGAGACAGACATGGTTCACATTTGTTATGGCTTGAATCTAAAATATTTCCAACAGGCTCATGCTCTGAACACTTGCTACTCAGATGGTTGTCCTATTTGGAGACATGTGGAGCCATTGGGAAGTGGAGTCTAACTTGTGGAAGTAGGTCACTACTTCCAGCCCCTGGTTCCGATCCACTATGACACTAACATGCATTACCACTCACGTCCAGTGCCCCATTCTACTTACAGTCCCTGTTGTGATGGGCTCAGCTCTCTGGGAACTATGAGCAAAGAGAAAGCTTTCTTCCCTTAGGTCATTTTGGTCAGGTGATTTGGCCACAGCAGCCCAAAAGTACCTAATGCATATAATCGCTCATTTGCTGTATGACTTCTAGGTTGAGGCTCTGTTCCCAAATTATACTGTGTAACCTCAGGACGTCTCCTTTAAAGCAACAACATAGTAGGACATTTGGAAAGATCTAGGGGAGTCTATCTTAGTATTTGTAGTAGTGTGGCCTTTTCTTCTGGGCATACTAACACCATCCCATATCCATCATGGAGGAGCAGAGATAACCTTGGCCTGTAGTCATGACAATGAAATGAGGGGAACAATACAGTTGGACCTGTGGTTGACTGTTCAAGCTGCAGAGGAATGAAGATCGTCAGACCCTCACCTGCCATTCCACCCAACATTTTCCCTCCTGTCTCTCAACTACATAAGGCCTATTGGCTCTAGCATCCCTCTCCCTAGCACTCACCCCTGCCTCCTGGTTACACAAGGTCTGTTGGCTCTAGAATGCCCCTCCCCACCTGTGCAGCTGAAATACAGGAGGGAGTGATGCGTGGATTCCATGATGCAGCTTCCTGAGGTTGTCATCGATGGTGGGGTGGGACTTTGTAGCAATGCAATTGTCTGGAGGCTACCCATGTCCTGTAGGTAGCCCCTCCCTCCCCCATGCTGTGTAAGTAATGCCAATAAACTCTCTGGTTCCCGAAGCTAGACCTCAATGGAATCATTTCTTTGGTCTGTCATCAGTGCCTTATATGGTGTGAAGAGATATTTGTTTATGTCTCCTCAGGAATAGGGACACAACAGTCATCTCCCTACAAGGACATCTAATATATGACAAATCCTAGATGCCATGGTCTTCCCTGAGCAGGACTTGACAACTGCCACTTGTAAGAGCCATAACTCAGCCAGCCAAGACGGTAAGCTTGCCAGAGACCATTAGTGGCTAAGACTCAATCCTTACCTTGTCTTGCCACTATTAAGCTGGCCATGCAGTCTGGGACACTTGTGCCTGCTGCCAGGAAGGTGATGCCCATGATGACATCAGGGATCCCAAGCGTGTATCCAATAATAGTCACCTGCAGAAGAGGCCAGAGTCGGAGGTCAGGTGAGCTCACAATGCAAAGCCCTGAAACTCTCCTTACCCTATGTGCTTTTAAATTAAATGTGATGTTGTTGTAATCAGGAGAAAAATTTTGAATATGGCCTTGAACGTGCTATGTAGCTAAGGGGGACTTTGAGTCTTCCGGCTTCCACCCACCTCCTAAAAGCTGGGATTACAGGCAAGCAGCACCACACCTGATTTATGCAGCGCTGGGGACTGAACCCAGGGATTATGCATGCCAGGTAAGTACCCTACCAATGGAGCTACAGGCTCAGCTTCTTATCGGAAGAAGAAAAAAAAAATTGTTTTTTGAGACAGGATCTTACTATGTAATCTTGGCTAGCCTGGAACTCTGCAGACTAGGCTGGCCTCAAACTCAGATTCTCCCATCTCTGACTCCCCAGTGCTGGCATTAAAGGCGTATGCAACCATGTTCAGCAAGGAAATATTTGCATGTATTTTTCCCCCTGATCAGGCAGTATCTGTTTATTTCTTTAAAAACTTTCTTTAAAATTGTTTCTGATTTTATTTATTTTTTATGTGTTTGAGAGTTTTTTGTGTATGTAGTACCCGAGGAGGCCAGGAGAAGCGTCAGATCCCCTGGAACAGGAGTTGTTGATAGCTGTGAGATGTCGTGTGGGTGCTGGTGATTGGACCTGGGTCCTCTGGAAGAGTAGCCAGTGTTTTTATTCACTGAGCTATCTCTCCAGCCTTGCATTAAACATTTTTATAAAATAAAATGAAAGCCGGGCTTTGGTGGTGCACACCTTTAATCCCAACACTGGGGAGGCAGAGGCAGGTGGATCTCTGTGAGTTCGAGGCCAGCCTGGTCTACAGAGTGAGTTCCAGGACAGGCTCCAAAGCAATACAGAGAAACCCTGTCTCAATCAAAAAAAAAAAAAAAAAAAAAAAAAAAAAAAGAAAGAAAAAAGAAAAAAAAGAAAAGAAAAAAGAAAAAAAGGAAAATGACAGTTAACTACCATCTTTTAAGAGCCGTCTACAGCCATTATTGGCACATTCCATCTGTAGGTGGGTCCCGAACTTGAGGACATAGATAATTTCTTGGAGGGCTTAAGAGAACCAGACTATCAGGCCTCAATCCCAGAGTGCCAGTGTGAGGCCTGACAACTTGCATTCCCAGGTGCTTAGTACCCTGAAGCTGCTGGTCTGGGAACACCTGAAGATGTCTGTGCATCCTTGATCTTGTTTTTTTTTTTTTGTGGGGGGGTGGCAGGAAAAAAGGAGGGTTCAGATTGTATTATCACTACCCATTTTGTAACTGGTTCATGTAATACTATACCATGAATACCTTTGCACTTGCAACCATCACCTAAACACATTTTAAAGTGATGCTTAGATTTCACTGTACTGCCTGTACGTTACAACTCATCCCTCACTAGTATTTCGATGGCTTCTTGTTGGATCTCTATTGAGGACTTCCTGTATACCAGGCAGTCCACAAAGGTGTCTTACTCCCTGTCTTAGTCAGTGTTCTATTGCTGTGAAGAGACACCATGACCATGGCAACTCTTTATTTATTTATTTATAAATAATGTTGTGTATTTATGTATACAACATTCTGCTTCCATGTATATCTGCACACCAGAAGAGGGCACCAGATCTCATAACGGATGGTTGTGAGCCACCATGTGGTTGCTGGGAATTGAACTCAGGACCTCTGGAAGAGCAGTTGGTGCTGTTAACCTCTGAGCCATCTCTCCAGCCCGACCATGGCAACTCTTACAAAGAAAAACTTCATTGGATGGCTCACTTATAGTTTAGAGGTTCATTGTTGTCATCATGGTGGGACATGGCAGCGTGCAGGCAGACATGCTGCTGGAGAGGTAGTTGACAGTTCTATATATTGCACTGGCAACAGGAAGTGCTATGTCTCACTGGGTGTGGCTGGAGCATATATAAGAACTCAAAGCCCACCTTCGAAGTGATACACTTCCTCCAACAAGGCCACACCTCCTAATAGTGCCACTCCCTTTCAAACCACCACACTTTAATAATCTTATCTATTCTATTATTTGCTGCCATGGGTGAGGAGGACACTATTGTTATGCCAAATGAGAGCCAGAGAGGTTAAGTACCAATGCCCATGGACAGCAGCTGCTTGTAATGGATCATGGACTCCCAAACAAATGCTCCCATCTCCTTTCCATCAACATATCTGTATGTCAATCTCTGAACTGTCATCTCTATTTCCTTAGAAGGAACTCCAAGACATAGACCTACTGGATCAAATGCTTTACTGGCCAGAGAATGCCATTTGAGATAAAGACACTGGAGAGCTTGCTGGAGCCATTAGCAGCAGAGTTGGGGCAGCCAGATAGAAAGTCTTAGAGGCCTTTGGACCACCCTGGTTTACCCCTTGGTTGCAGCTTGTCTCTTTCCAGAGATCATCAACAGTGGTGTCCCTCAGGACTGATCATGTCTCAGTCGTGATAGTTTTAATTGTCAACTTGATACAAGTTAGAGTTATCAGAAAGGAAGAAACCTCCACTGAGAAAAGGTGTCCATAACATCCAGCTGTAGGGCATTTTCTTAATTAGTGATTAATAGGTAAGGGCCCATCCCATCATGGGTGGAGTCATCCTTGGGCTGGTGATCCTGGGTTCCGTAAGAAAGCAGGCTGAGTAATCCATGAGGAGCAAGCCAGTAAGCAGCACCCCTCCATGACCTCTGCTTCAGCTCCTGCCTCCAGGTTCCTGTCCAGTTTGAGTTCCTGTCCTGACTTCCTTCAATGATGAGCAGTGATGTGGAAGTTCCTTTGGTCATGGTTTTTCATTATAACAATAGAAACCCTGAGATAACCTTAGAATTACCTGGGAAGATAGTATCAATGAGGGGTTGTCTAGATGAGGTTGGCTTGTGGGCATGTGTGTGGGGGGATTGTTTAATTGTGTTCATTGGCATGGGAAGACCCAGCCCACTATGGGCAGCATCATCCCCAAGCTTTGGGTCCTGAACTGAAAAAGAGTAGAGAAAGTGAGCTGAGCCCTGAGCACCCAGGCATTCACTTTTCTCTCTGCTCGTGTGTGTGGATGTGATATGACTAGTCGTCTTAAGTTCCTTTGTGTTGCTTTCTGTCCATGCATTTTTTTTAAAACAGCAATGAAACTAGGACACTAGTTAATGGTTCCAGTCTCAGCAACTGCTGCATGACTTTGGACAGTCAGGCTTGCATTTCCAAGCTGCAGCTCTCTCATGGGCTCAATGGCAAGGATGAAATGAGGAAGTGTAATGCGAATATCTGGCCAGGGCCACATGGTCATGGTGCAATGTTTCCTTCTATTTCAACCATTTGTTTGTACTCTATGAGGGACAAGAAAATGAGAGCAATCAGATGTCAGGGTTCTGAGAGCCCCAGACTAAAGGTGCTTCCCAAGGGCCAGGCTCAGCCAGTATGTGTGGATTACAGAAACAGCCCCAGGAGAAGAAAACAGATGAGTTTGAACATACTGCCCACACTGAGAGAGGGTCCAACACACTACCAGGTACCCCTGCTCTTGAGTGGGGACAGACAGACAGACAGGCTCCCCTCATCTTCTCAGACTGTGGCACACAGCTACATGCACTGCCTTGGAAGGAGGGACCAGGAGGGGGATAAAAGAACGACCGAGTCATCATCACTGAGTCCACACTATTAACCAAAGGTGTTTCCACCAAGCCACTGGCTGTGACATATGAGCTTTGAATCAGTGACACTGAACACCTTAAGGGTCCAGTAACTGAGCTACTGTGGAGTTGCTAGAACTGACTCTCCTTCTTAAATTACTGAACCATATGGCTGAGAAACAGCCAGGTGGGGTGTCAGGGAGAAGATGGGCACAATTTGTAGGTATGCCCACACACTAAAGGGTCTTGGGTCAAGGATGTCACATGGACCTTATTCCACCCTGGGACTTAACCCCAGTGCTGCAAGCTTCCAGATATGTAGCTTTGAATGGAAAGCAGAGCCACACTCCCAGCTTCTCTTCGTTCCGCAGTGATCCCAACTGTGCTTTAGAAAGGGCAATCCATACAAAGGGCCCTCTACTTGACACTGACATTGCCTTTTTTTTTTTTTAATTAAAAAAAATTTTTTTTGAGATAAGATTTCTTTGTAGCCTGTCTTAGAACTTGCTCTGTAGACTAGGCTGGCCTCAAACTCACAGAGCTCAGCCTGCCTCTGCCTCCCAAGAGCTAGGATTAAAGGTGTGCACCACTAACATTTGCAATTGGGTCTTCTTAACTCCTTGGAAGTGACAGTCTTAAAGGTGATGGGTTGGGGATGGCCTGGTGGCTTCTTCTCCTGGTGCTCCATTAGGACATAATGGAAGCAAGCATTGGCCACCAGAGCAGGAGCACCTTAGAGATCAAGGTGAGCCCAGAGACAGTCTTCTTTACCTGCTTTTATCATCAAGATGGTTTTATTTCCCCAAACCCAGGCCATCAAGGCTCAAAGCCATACCACAGGTCAGATTGGCCCAGCAGGGTGGCTCTCATGGCCCCAGTTCAACCTGGCCTAGGACTCTGGTTTTCAAAACAAAAGCAGGATTTGTAAATGAAGATGCTGAAGGTGGGAGTGTTCTATCTCAAGTGAACAGTACTGACATCCGTAAGGAGAGAAGAAAGAATTTCACAAATTCTTTAATTTGACCTCCCTAATTCCCATGCCTACTCAAATGTCACAAAATACTGGATTTTTTTTTTTAAACTTGTCATGTTTTGGGAATATGATTTAGTAAGAAACATCATTGGTGCCTTTAAAATGTAAAGGCTGGCTTTTCATTCTACTCAGGGAAAGTAAGAAGTGAGATTCAATTCTTTTAAGGTATGGTTGTTATTGTCTTCAAGAGTCATCATCTTCTAAGGATGTGGGCAGAAACTATTTCAAGCTCTTTTCCCATACCAACACAAGAAAACAGGCCCCCAAACAAACAAATAGACTAAAAAAACACTCCATGTGCTATTCAGGACACATTTGGGCTCTCCACACACAAGGCTGGGAAGAAGGGAAATGAGATGGTGGCTGGTTGGGAAGCAGGTGTCTAACTATGGGCCAACAAGTTTGAGAGGTGATGGCCGCCACCCCAGCTTCACAGAGGGGCTCAGGTTGGCTCCAGGAATTGAATCAGTGAGTCACTTGCTCAATTGTAATGGTCTTAAGAAAAAGGAGTAGGCTTCAGATCTGTTCTCTTGGGCAGTGTATGTGGCTCAGTATCAAACACTTGCCTAGCATATGCAAGGCCCTGTGTGACTCCCTACAGCCCATGCTTCCTGCTAACCAGCATCTTTCCTCTAGGGTGAAGGGAAAGAGGCCCTTGGGCCCACAGAGGTCTCACCAGTCAAGCCCTGCTCACCTTCCCTGATGCTGGCCTCTGTGTTAGGAGAAGGAAATGATTTAACGAGGGGCATGCAACTGACAGATGAGCTTCACAATGAATGGGAATCAGCCATATGGTAGCCATTTCCCCTCTTATTGCTCCTAAGCCCCCTACAGGAAATGGGGGTTTTAGAATTCTATCATTAGCCCCAGCTATTCACACAATTGTGGGTTCTCTATGCCTCGGTTTCTCCATCAGTAAAATGGGGACACTAAAATATTTATCCTATGGGGATGTTATGAGGTCAACATGGGTCTTCTATAAAATTGTCCTGTATGTCTAGCAGAGAGAAAAGGGCAGCTTTTTGACAGAGGATTCTGCTGTCTCTTACTGCCACCATTTCCTTTCTTTACATTCCTCTGGGGACCCTCATAATGAGGGTCCCAGCACTGGTGTCCTCTTATTCTGCCCATCCCACCAGAGTAGCCTTTTATATGTCTCCCTTCCCAATGCCTGCTCCCATCTCAGCGGGAACAAGGCATGGTGTCCACTCTTGGGTACACAGAGGGCACTGTAGTACCATGTTAATACCACTTTCTACTTAGAGAGAGACTGAGGCCGGCAAGGCCAGTGACTTGTTCACAGGTGGGACCAAAGCTTAGACGAGACTGAGTGGGGACTGTCACTCACCAGCCACACCATGAGGTAGGAGAACACGGCGATCCACAGCGTGGCCGTGATGAAGGTGACCATGAAGAACTTCTCCCAGCGGGGCTTGCTGCAGTTGGGGATGGTGACACACAGGAGGAAGATGAGGGGCCAAGTGAACACCCACTTAGCCTTGTCGCCTTTTGCCTCTGCAAAGGGGTATGGGATAGAGCAAAGGGTGGGACAGAAAGACATTGGGTTATGTGGTTGCTTGTCCACTCCTGGCTCATTGTTTTCAAGTGAAGCTTGGTGTGACTCCAAGTAACTGAGGCCACAGAATTGTCCTCCATCAGGTCACCTGGGAGTAGCAGGAGGACTCAGTGCTTGTTGGCTGACCAACAATAGTCCACTGTAATCCTTAATTGACCAGACAAAGAAGGCGAACCAAGAGTAGGGATGACACTGGTTCAGGGGAGCTGGAATCAGAAAGCTGGAGTAATTCCATCACTTCTGCTCTTTCCTTTGAGGATAAAGGCCAAACTAGGACAATGCAATATAGTAGCTGGCCTATGGAGCGTGGCAAGCATGGTGCAGAGCGCTTTGCTTCTTGCTGCCTGCATCTGTTCATAAGAACATTCTCTTTGTCTTGGTTGTTGCAGGGATGGTGTGATGTGGGGTGTGGGAAGCACCAGGCACACAGCCCAGCACAGAGGAGGAGGGAACAGAAGCTGGAAGGCACACTGAGAACTTGTGCACAAGACCCCAAAGCTGATGGGAAGCACCAGTGTGTGCATGCAAGAAAGGCACATGTTGGGACCGGTGAGATGACTCTGTGGATAAAAGCTCTCGTGACTTATTACACAACTGACTCCTAAAAACTGTCCTCTGACTCCATACAACACACATGTGCACATACCATAAAACAAAATATTTTATTACACTTATACACACACACACATTTCTGTATGTCTTTATTTTGTGTGGGTGCATGGGGGTGTGTATCACAGTGCTGGTGTGTATAGGGAGTTGATTCTCCTCCTACCATGTAGGTCTGGGTCACTGACCTCAGGTCATCAGACTTGATGTCGAGAGCCATTACCCTATGAGCCATGTCATTGGCCCTCAAATATTTTAAAAACAAAGCACACACACTCCCCCTGAGTACACACAAACAGTTCTCTAGAATGGACTGAGTGTGTGGCTGTAAAACAAGACCCAGGAGGATTAGGACTGATATCAGGCGGTATGTGCTTGCCAACCTCAAAGGAATGGAATTAGGACTCAATATTGAAAGGGAAGCTGGAGTGATTTGCAAACATGTGAAAGTCACATAGCACAGTCCTAAGTAACCGACAGGTCAGAGAAGAAATCACTAGGGAAATTAGGAAATAATGGAGGAAACAGAAAACAAAATGTAAAATGCCAAAACTCATAGGATGTGGTGGAGACAGGCTCGAAAGGAAACTTCTAACTGTAAATGCCCATGTTGAAGTGGGAAGCATTTAAAACCCAGGAGCTTATATTCCTCCCCAAACAAGACAAAGAGAGGATTAAGTTCAAAGAATGCAGAAGGAAAGAGTGACCCATGGGGGATTCCTGGGGCATGGAGCGAGACAGACTAGCTAAACTGGAGAGCCTGAAATTGAACTCTGGCTTCCGCACACACATATACTTCCTACACACATGAGCAACACACAAGAGAAAAGGGTTTTGAATAGACCACTCTCCAGTGTCACATACAAATGACAGCTAAGCCTACTTAAAAATGCCCAACACACAAAATAAAAAATACATATATAAATGTAATATTCTTTAGTCATTAAGAAAATACAATTAAAATAATTTCATACCCATAACTATGACTATAGTAAAAAAACATAACAAATACTGTCAAAGACATGGAAAAAAGTACAAACCCTCACGTACTGGGGAGTGAATAAAAAATATATAGACTTCTTAGAAATCAGTCCAACAGTTCTCCTAAAGAGTTCAACAGAGCTGGGGAGTGGTGGTGGCGCACGCCTTTAATCCTAGCATTCAGGAGGCAGAGGCAGGCAGATCTCTGTGAGTTTGAGGCCAGCCTGGCCCACAGAGTGAGTTCCAGGACTGCCAGAGCTACACAAAGTAACCCTGTGTCAAAAAACCAAAATAAGTAAATAAATATACAGGTGTTCACCTGAGATAGATGAAGACAAATGTTATTACAAAAACTCAAAGACTCACATGGTTACCCCCAAATGGAAACAAGCCAGCTAAAACTCCAGTGAGGAAAGCACAAGCCATCTGTGGCATGTAAGACCAGAGAAGGACTGAAATACTGAGGCATGCATTCCTCAGCAGGGAGGAGTGCTAAAACGACAGGCAGGGAAGTCAGACACAAAAGCCACACAGCGCTAGTTTCCATCCAGATGAGACGTCTGGAACAGGACAATCCGGACACAGGAAGGAGCTCGGTGGTCACCAGGGAGGGAGACAGCACTGGGAAGTCTTTACTTGTGGGTGGTGTTTGGTGATTTTTTTTTTTTTTGTTTTACAATAAAAATATTTTGTAATTATATACTGAAATGGTCACATCGTTCTCTGAATACAGAAGGAAAACTGTGCCACAAAGGGTCTATTTTATGGCATATGAAATATATCTCAGTTTTTTAAACTGCAGAGTAGGTTGGAGCGCCTCAGTTTCAGAACTGTGTAGGTGCACTATATTATTTCCCAAATAAATATAATCGAAGTGCGTTTACTTACACAAAACAAAACAAAAAACAAATCAACAATGACAACAGACTAATCTAAGCTGCCCATAAAGAGCAAAGAGAATGTGGTCAGCTTGAGACCAGCAAGTCAGCTTGGTTATCCATCCAGATACTGCAATCAGGAACACATCTGTCTCCTATCTCGTTCTGAAGGTACCTCTCCATACTGGGTATGCCTAGCAACGTCAGTAGAATGGTTTCAGTCCCATGGTTTGCACCAAATTCCGGGCTCCCATCTTGCCAACTACATCCCAACTCATTTGGGCTGCTGAAGAAGGCTGAGGCATTCTAAGACTCCATGCATAGGGGAATAATTCACTTGGGGGAATTGTGACCCTGGCCACCTAAATACCCAGGAACCTCTCCACAGATAGACACAGAAACTGTGGAAGGATACATTTCTTCTGTTATAGACACCAAATTGCATCAGGCATTTGTCCTTTTGCTGGTCTGGGCTTTGCATATTGTTTTGACATCTGTCTTCATCTTGGTCCCACCCAAGCAGTTAGCATCAACACCCACCATTGGTTTCCTAGGAAACAGTCCTCTAGCAGACCCTGTCTCTACCGCTGTGGTTTTTAACAATTGGGTGTTATATACTGGTGGATTAGAAAAATCACTTTAGTGGATGGAAACCTGTACTTCCTTAAAAAGAAATAGAAAATAATGGGGTTACACACAGTGAAAGCTAAATACCATTCCATGAAACCAGAGTGTGGTGTGTGTGTGTGTGTGTGTGTGTGTGTGTGTGTGTGTGTGTGTTGGGGTGGTTGTGTGTGTGTGTGTATGTATGCACACACATGATATATGCTTGTATATGAGTATATAGGTCAGAGGTCAACCTTGAGTGTCATTCCTCAGGACTTACCCACCTTGCTTTTTTTCTGACAGAGTTTCTCACTGGGAACTGGGTGCCATTTCCTCCAAGCTCGTTGACCTTTGAGCCTGTCTCCACCCTCCCAGCATGAGGACTGATGGCAAGCACACACCACCAAGAAATAATGCTAAAATGCTGTGAGGCCACAGGGTGATGGGGGAAATCCATCCCAAGGAATATCCAGCACCAATGCTTTAGTGGTAGCATTCTTGCCTCCCAAGTGGTAGCCACCCCAATGCTCCTAGAAACCCCTCCTGGTGCCTAGCCCTTCCCTACCCATGCACCATTACAGACTGATGGATATGCCAACACCAAGGAAAAGGTCTCATTTCTTTCCCTAAGCCTTTGATTTCTCTCTTGAAGTAGAACATTACAATTTAATTATGTGACAAGAATTATTTAAAACGAACTGTAACAAAAACAGATGGCCCATCATGCCAGAGGAAAAGAACAGATTCGGTAGTCGATGGAAACCTCACACTAATTTGGATGGTGCACTAATTAGACACTTCAACTAAGGGGGTGGCTAAGTTGTGGTCCTGAGGTGGACTCCACCCTTGGCTACTGGAGAGATTTTCTGGGGCCCTGGAGCTAAGTATCCACATGTCTGAGACAGTGTCACAGCTTCTCGAACTCAGAGTCCCTTGGAAGGATCTGACCAGCCTGCAGGACTGATGCTTCGGAAGGTCCGGATGAAGGGTCTGAGAATTTGCATTTTTCAAAAAACTGGATCTCCCCTATGTTATTCAGGTTGGCCTCCAACTTCTGGCTCCTCCCACTCAGCCTGAAGTAGCTGAGCCATTTCTGGGAGAGACAGCTCATTGGTTAAGAGCACTGGCTGAGCTTCCAGAGGACTCAGGTTTGTTTCCTAGCATCTTCACGGCACCTCACAACTACCTGTAACTCCAGTTCCAGAGGATCTGATACCGTCTTTTGGCCTCTCCATGCACTAGGCACGCAAGTGGTGCAGACATACCTGCAGGCCAAACATGTATACACATTAGAAGAGAAGGCGGAGGACAAGGACGAGGAGGAGGAAGAGGAAGAAGAGGAAGCTGGAGGAGGAGGGGAGGAGGAGGAGATAATAAAGAGATATTTCCAACTATCTGTTGCTTAGACTGGACCATAGTTTGAGAACCCCACCGTAGGCTAATTCTGTAATTACCACATCAAAACATCACCCATTTAAAGTGTTTGGTTAGGTGGGTTTTAGTATTTACATAGTCTCATCTCCAGTACAATTGCATTCAAAATGATTTCCACCAGCCAGGATAGAAACCCATGCCTGTTAATAGTGTTCCCTACCTCCTCCAAACTCTGGGAACCACAGACTTGTTTTCAACCTCCAGGTTTAATTATTCTGCACATCTCAGCTAAATGGAATAGAACTGTGGCACTTTGTGCCTGGATTTTCTTCACTTAGCATAGTGTCCATGTAGCATGCTCTAATACTTTATTCCTTTTCACAGATGAATAATCTTCAGCAACATGAATACGTTTTTATTTTTGTTTTCAGGGCTGGGTATTGAACCCAATGCCTGGCATCTGCCAGGCAAGCGCAGTCAAATGCTCTGCTACT